GCCACCCCACGGGCGGGCGGGCATTGGGCGCCGGAGATGAGCCACTTGCTCATCGGAGCCCAGAAGTGGACGGTGAACGGGCCTAAAGAGAGGACGCGCCGTCTCCGCCTGCTGCTGCAGGAGCGGGCGAAAGGTCGAGGGCGAGAAGGGACCGTTCGCGGCGCCGGCAAAGGACGAGATGCCTACTCGCAAAGCCCTGTGTTTGCCGAGGCGCTTCGCCAGAGTGCATGCGCTAGGCAAGGCCACCCGGAATGGACATCGCAACCATAGCGGCCTGCATCCTCGGCCCCGCCATGACGAGCGCCGCCAACCCGACGGCGCCCGCGCCCGCCTGCATGCCGACCGCCCTCACCTCGTCGGCCTTGCCCTGCTCCACCTGGTACTCAAAGGCGCGCCGGAGCTGGTTCGACTGCGCGAGGACATTCGACACGTGGCAAAAAAAGAGCATCAGGTTTCGCGGCTGCACCACCCACGCCCAGCGCGCAAAGAGGGACGAGTAGACGATCTGAACGGGCGTCATGTTCATCGAGATAACCTCTGGGCCCTGGTACAGGGCGTCGTAGATGGCTGAGCCCATCAATCCCCAGCCGGCCAACGCACCGCCAAAGCCCCAGAATTCGGCTGTCCGGAGAAAGTGCTTCTTGGCGGGCTCGGCAGCTGGCGGCGTCTCGGTGCTGAGCCGCGCGTACGACGTGCGCAGCGCGAGGCCCAACCGCGGCGACACTGCCGATCTCACGCGTGAGAGCATCGGGGGGAAGCAACTGGGTTCCAACTTTTTCCGGGGTATGGTATGGTTGCACCTCTGTGTGTCGCTCGTGCGTGCCGTCATCATCTGTCCAGCGTCCACCCATACCGCGTTGGTGTCCAGTCCGAGCCTGGCTGTTCTTCACCTTACTACATACATACATACCTCGAGACCATACCCCTCCGCCTCTTGGAAGACCTGCTTGGGGTATGGTAGGGCTAGCCTTGGGCGGTCAGGACCATACCCCCCCCCCCCCTTTGGGCCGCCGAGCCTACCATACCATACCCCGGAAAAAGTTGGAACCCTGGCGTACCAGACGCGCCCAACCCATCTATAACACCGCTCCCTTGGTTTCATTGGAACGTTGCTTTCTTTCTTTCTTTCTTTCTTTCTTTCTTTCTTTCTTCCTGGCACTAACACACAAGAAACACACAGGTACAGCTACACCACGGGCACGGCGCACGGGAGTCGGGAGCCACAAAATCAAAAAGAATTTTTCGAAGCAAAAAGAATGATGTGCTTTCTGGGCACGGCGTCCGGGCGCGCACTGGCACGAACACAAGTACACCACGGGCGCGAACGGGCACACTACCACGCAAAAAGCGTCTGATGTCCTTCACTGGTCTCACTCAGACTTCGTTCTCTTCACCTTCTCTCGCTCTATCTCGAACACTCGTCGGCGTCTCCTCAAATGTCCATGCCGCCGCCAAGCGGCTGCTCCTCCTCCTCCTCCGCATCCAGCAGCTCGCCCTCCTCGTCATCATCGAGCACAGCTCCTAAGTCCTCCTCCTCCTCTGACCCGATGCCCGCCCTCTGGCTCCGCACACCGGCCACCGAGGCACCGGCGTTCGTATCCGTGGCGTCTGCAGCGTCCTCGTCCGGCATTCCCACAGCCGCCGCGCCGGACACGCCGCCTAAGCCCGGGAAAGCGCCCGCGGCGCCCGCGGACGGCGGAGCCAGATCCACTAGGCGCACAGG